CTTTATAATTTTTGTTATTTTATTTCTTTAATAAATAGTGAACAACTTTTATATATTTATAGTGGCATTAAAAGTAACGATCAAATAACAGGATCCTGGCTCGTATGAATTTCACAATCTATTTAGAGGTAGTCAGTACACCTGTAAACAAATAGTCAGACCAAAGGTTTCCGTTGTGATAGAAACCAAAACCCCTATGGAAGAAAGTAGAGAAATGACTCAACCTGTGATAGACATGTAATTATGATATGCCAGTAATTATGCAGTAATGCCTTAGTGAACTTGCAATGACACAGATAATGATTTTAAGGGACTGAGAAAGCTGGAAGGGAAATGCTCTTGTTGGATAGAAAAGAATAAATACCAGAATCATATGGGTTTTTGGCTTCCTAGCTGTATAGTAAAACCATTTAGAGAACATGAAAGGAAACAGCGGGTACCATGTGAGGTCCCATTCTCATAGATTCTGATTTATTTGGTCTGGGATGGGACCAGGGTATAAGCATTTTTATTTTTTATAAGTTTTTATTGTGAAAATACTGTACAGAGGGGTTACAGTTACATGAACAAGGTAATAAGTACATTTCTTATCAAGCATTTTTGCCTCCTCCTTTGTTTTTCCCCTACCATTCCTTCTCTCCCACCTCCACAACTACCACCCCCCCCACATACACACACTGCCTAAATTGTAAAGTTCGTTTTTCAACATAGTATCTTGTACATCTCATTGTTACAATGGGTCAACCTGTATCCCTATTTAAACATTTTGTTTTTTCCCTTCCCCTCCCTAATTAAACCGACATCAAATACAGTGAAAACTGGGGTCAATACCATAAGCATTTTTTAAAAGCCCCCTGGTGATTATAATATGTAATCACAGTTAAAAACAACAACAACAACAACAATAACAAACCTACTGAGTTTGGGCCTCCTTTAGGATTCTGAGCTGACAGTTTTGGTTCCATGCTTGATCCATACTCCACCTGTGGTAGAGGAGCCACACTGGCTGATGAAGGGTTGCCATTGCCCCACAGCCACAGGCCAAAGGGGACTGAAGGGAACAACACCTTGCTAATGCAGATCTGTGATATTATACGGCATCCCACATGATCATTGTTTAAAAGAACTTTGAATGCAACACTGATCGATTCTGTCCTCCAGCTGCTGTGTGCTTACCTGCCAGTGGTTCTCAGGTGTGACCTGCTTTGGAGGGCTGCCTGGATGTACCAGAGCCTCCTTGTCTGGCCCACACGTTTACAACCTATAACAAAGAACAGATTGCTACTCGATGCTCAAAAGCCCTTGGCTGGAGATGAGACCAACCATGGGGTACAATTTATTCTCCGGCGCTGCTTTTAGGACCAAGCTAAGATTTCAGGAACTCACACCTTTGTTTGCTTTTCTTACCTTTTTCTCTCCTGCTTGGTTTTTTTAGAATTCCTTCCTTGTTTCTTCTGTGACCATCTACTTCTTCTGTACATCATTGTCATGAAACCTGGGTTGTTTTCTGAAAAATTCTGAACCATAAGGCATGTTCTTTCCAGAAGTTCAGGAATCAAAATGTGTACCTAGGTTTGGAAACCAAAATGTGTATCTGGATTGGGGTCAACTTTCTCCTGGGAGCTGAAGCCTACCTTCTCTGTGTCATCTGAAGTCAGCATAACACAAAGGGGTATGGCCTCTGGCTGGAAACATCTTCCCTGGTGATACAAAGCAGGCAACAGGAATTGCTAGTGGTAGACAAATGACCCTAATAAGTCCCTGTTTCAGCTCATTGGAATCTGGTGAGAGAACTACCTGTCATGATCAGGTGTATCTATTTCCTAATGTGTATCCTCCAAGGAAACGAAACTTACACAGGTCTCAAGCACTCTTTCTTCTCTCTCCCGCTTTTAATCATAGTTCCCTGATCTTTCAGAGAGCCTGGATCTATTGGCAAAGAGGTTTCTCTGACAAATGTTTTCAGCTTTTGGGCTACAGTTGCAGATTTGCGTCTAAATGGCCAAGCTGCAGATGCAGTGGCCCAGAGGGAGCTGCTGAGTGTGCTTCCGCACAATAATCCCCAAATGAATGTGAACCATATGTTGACGATGCAGTTTAACTAAAAGAAAAAAGAAAAAAAAAAGAAAGAAAATTCTGTTTTAGTTTTTTGTTGTTGTTTCCTATGAGGCTGGTTGAGATAGAGCTGAACGATTTAGGCCACCAACTTACAAAAGGTATTCAGATGGTCCTTCGTATATTGTGTTATTTATGGGAAAAATAAAAGTCAAAAAAGGAAAAGGTTCAGTATGGAACTGTGAAGGAAAGAGTTGGAGTTTCTGCTGTTTCTCCTGGAGTTGTACCCTTGAGTCACATAGCCTAACGTCATGATCTCTAATCTGGCTATTAAGTGTGGTTGAATGGGCAGGTGGATCTTTTTTCCTGATAGATTTTTTGTTTTGACAGCATCAGGGTTTGAACTCAGGGCCTTGCACATGCAAGATGAATGCTCCACCACTTGAGCCACAACCCCAGCTCTTTTTGCTTTCATTTGTTTCCTTTATTGTTTGCTGGGGGCCAGCCATAAACTATAATCCTCCTACTTCCACCTCCCAAGTAGCTGGAATTGGAGGCCTGTGTCACTACACCCACCCCTAGCATGCAGATCCTTAATAATCAGATGGGTGGGATTATCAGGCGGTGAAATTACAGGGTAATGCTTGTATGGATGCTGTCCCTTCCTCCATGTGTCTTGGCAGCATTCCAACATGCAGGACCCAATGAGGACCTATCTTCTTGGTGTTCCACAACTATGAACAGGCTCATTTTAGATTCTCCTTGATCTACCCAGTCATAACAGCACCACAAGGATGATTGAAAATGATTCCAGGAAGGAGACACAGCTCCTGGGAATTCCCCCAAACCTCTGGAGTCTCCATTTAGTGGGCAAGGATGATAGAAAGAGTCAAGGTAGGATGGATGAGAGGGCCAACGGAGAATCCAGCACAGAGGTCTTGTCATGTGCATGTGTACAGCCAGAACGGTGATTAGGAACAGACAGCATCCTAGGGGAAGGCAGGCACCTGCAGCTCTTGCCACAGGTACCCTGTTAGGGCTGTTAGATTTCCTTTCAGAGGTGCATGTGAGTCAGCGGGCATGTGCAATGGGCACCCATACTTCACATTCATCTCTGTGTGTCCTATGCTCATGCCCATCTCTTTTTCATTTGCATGATCAACTATTACCAAAGTCAAATAAATCCAGGGAATATCTACCAAGCAAATCATAGTGGGAGGAGCCCTTCTATAGCCTTTCTTTACTTTAATAAACTAATCTTTGCTTTTATATCTTTACCCAAATTGTACCATTTTATCTCTCCTCTGTGTGGATGTATATGTGCGCATGTACAAGCTCATGTGCCTATACTAGGGCTTGAACTCAGGGCCTTATGTTTTGTCTTGGCTTTTCCACTTGAGCCACACTCTCCATTTTTGGCTTTTTACTAGCTAATTGGAGGTAAGAGTCTCTTGAATTTATCTGTCCAGGCTGACTTCAAATCATATTCGTCAGATCTCAGCTTCCTAAGTAGCTAGAATTACAGGTGTGAGCCAGGAGCACCCACATGTCTTCTCCTGGATCTGCTCCAACCATGTGTAAGTTCATACAACATTCAAATGATTGATTGGGGGCCATTGCTATGACTGTCTTTTTAATTCTCATGAATAATCCTCCTCATGAGTACTCTTTGTGCATTGACCTCATGTCTTAGATCATGGGTCCCTGAAACCTTCACAATAAGAATTTCTAAAAGTGGGGCATTTATTCAAAAGAAGTACACACTATGACATGAGGTACCCAACTTCAAAACTTTAGAGCAACTTTTTGCAAACCATTGACAGTCAATAAAGATTCAATCATTTCTGCATACATAGGATCACCTCTCTTGCATGGTTCCAACTTGAAGGAATGATAGGAGGTCAGTAGATAAGAGCTCTGGGGAATCACTTCTTGTTTACCTTGATTAAAAGTTCTCACATACAGGCTGAGTTGGCTTTGTGCTTGCTTCATGCTTTAAATCAATCCAATTTGATTCATTTCAACAAGCATTCATTGGTCACCTGCTTCATATCAAGCATCTTGTGGGCCATCATGTATGTTTGGAAAGTGGTTCAGAGATAACTAACCCACCTGACACAGACAAGCCATTGAGACACTATTGCTGCAAAACCAGCCACTAGGGACCAAATCAATGAGTTGTAAAAAACACACAGAGCAACAACTCTTCCTGACTAGACAGATCTGCGTGGGTTTCAGAAAGGAAGTAAAAGTTGGAGAAGGCTGAGCCTTTGAGGAAAGACTTCCACAGGAATGGAGAGTACTTCAGGCAGAGGAAGCATGACATGATGGTGTGGGGGGGTGAAAGGATTGCTGGAGGCATCATGAGAAGATGGGGAAGGAGGGCTGAAAGGCACAGGAAGGACTCCACCTGTCAGGATAGGTTTCCCATAGACAGGGCAGTGGAGAAGCTATGATAGCCTTTGAACAGGGACAGGGCTCTATGATGAGGAAAATTAATAGATAGACCAATGGACCAAATACATGAGAGACAAAAACTCTAGTGAATCTGAGTGAGAAGTAGACAGTGCCCAACCTAGGCATGGGCAGTGAGAGGGGAGTAGAGGGAAGGAACAGATGAAGTTTCTGAGGCCAAGTCCACAGGGCTGGTTGATTAGATAAGAACTGAAAAATGAACCCTTTACTGAGAATCTGCCAACATGTCAAATAAGGATTTATAGGTTCCTACAGGTTGGATACAGTAGCAGTTCGGACGTTTGGTGTGATCTGACTTGGGGACCTCTTCATGGAGATAGATTTCCACAGAGTAGTAGTAGATTTGAACATGAGCCATTGTAGACCCAAGTGACCATGATGTGTCCATACCAGGGAAGTTATGCTGACCACGAAGAGAGCTCTTGTCCCTCCAGAGAGTGACTCATCCATCTCTCCTCTTTCCTGTCCAGTGTGTATCAGCTAGTTGTCAAAGAGGAGCGACTTCAGAAGTCCCGGAGGGCCGCTGACATCGTTGAGTGCTTCTCAGTACCTGTGAGCTACAGAAACGCCTCTAACCTTGACTCTCTGCACTACTTTGCTGCTGAGCTGAAGCCCGCCAACCTTCCTGTCACCCAGCCGTTTACAGTGGGTGACAACAAGACCTACAATGGCTACTGGAACCCTCCCCTCTCCCCACTGAAAAGCTACAGCATCTACTTCCAGGCACTCAGCAAAGCAAATGGAGTAAGTATGGCCGCATGGAAGCCGTGCTTGCCTTGTTGGGATTTTCAAGGTCAGCTAACTAAGGCTTGTCCAAATCCATCCTTGTGCCTTTGGAGTGCTTTAAATAAGATTGTGTTGATCTGCTTTGGTGGTGCTGGGTTTGAACTTAAGGCCACCTGCTTGCCATGGAGGTGCATTACCACTGAGCCATACTTTCAGCTCTGATTTTTTTGGCTGGTTAATTAGTATTGGTGGTACACAGGTTTGTGGTATTTGCACTTGGTTGGCTGGCACTCTACTACTTGAGCCATGTCTCCTGCCCTGTGTTTTTCTAGCTATTTTAAAGATGGAGCCTAGCAGACTTCTATTCATGCTGATCTCAAACCACCCACCTTTGGTCTCAGCCCATTGAATATGTAAGATTATAAGTGTGGGACAATGGCACCTAGATCACTGTTTTGTTGTTGTTGTTGTTTGTCATTCGTGGGGCATGAACTCTGGGTCTGGGCGCTGTCCCTCAGCTCTTTAGCTCAAGACTAGCGCTCTACCACTTGATCCTCACCACCACTTCCAGCTTTTTCTACTTATGTGGTGCTGAGGAATCGAACCCAGGGCCTCATGCATGCAAGACAAGCACTCTACCACTAAACCAACTTCCCAGCCCTCACTGGTTATTTAATTTATTTTTTTTAGTTTTTAATTAATTTATTTTTTATGTGAGAATACTGTACAGAGGAGTTACAATTACATGGGCAAGATAATGAATACATTTCTTATCAAGCATTGTTGCCTCCTTTTTGTTTCCCCTTCCCATCCATTCCCCACCTCCCCCACCCGATCCCCCCACCACCAAAGTTGTAAAGTTCGTTTTCGACATAATGACTTGTACATCTCATTGTTGCAATGGGCCCACCTGTATCCCTAGTTAAATGATTTGTTTTTTCCCTTTCCCTCCACAAATTGGTTATTTTTTATGATAATGTTCTAGTTCCTCCCTGGCACCTGCCTGGACTGCATTCCACCTATTTTCACCTTCTTCTAGTTGCTGGAATGACAGGACGTGAAACCAAGTCCAGCTTCCCTCCACTGAGGTAGAGTCTCTTGGATTTTTATGCCTGGGCTACCCAGGATTCCCCCAGTCTCAGCCTCCTAAAATGAACCATTTCTTTTTTGGCTGACCTCACATCCCAATCTTTGCGTTTTCACATCCCAACTTGCTGGGATTACACGCACCAACTACCAGTGCCTGGCTTATTTTGTGTTTAATATAGCTATAGCTGTATTAACTATAGCTCTACCTTGTTGTTTGCATATTATTAGTGGCTGCTTGGTGCCTGAGAATAAAGTTGAGAACTTTTACCAAACACTGTGTACCTCACAGAGACCTAAGTCATTTACTATGTGGCTCTTTATGAAAAAAAAGTTTGAAGACTCACATAATAGTGTATAGAGAAGTCATTGTGCTGGAGCACAGCACAGGGCCTTATCTGTGATAGTAATAACTATGAATGTACTATCTGGATGCACTTGCAGGTCTTGGCCAATCTGTGAATGTTACTCCTTTTATCACTACCGTTAGTCACATTTGAAAATAATTGCTATCTCAAAACACAAGGGAACTATTTTTGTGTCACAGACCTCTTTGGCCAAGGAGTGGTGTTTGTCATTACTGTACAATCTCAGGGCTAGAACAGGTCTTAAAAGCTATCTAGCACCTGTCTTTTCCCCACCTGCACATATGGTTGCTTTAGTCAGTCTTAATACCTACATCACATCTAACCAGTGTTATGATGCAATAACAGAAATCACTTTACTGATTTTGTTGGGGGGGAGTAGTTGTCTGTCACTCTAAGAAATCCATGTGATACATGGATTGAAATAGCTCTTAGATTTTTGTCTCTATCAGTTGGTATTGATCTATATTCTTAAGAACCCATAGAGCCAAACTTGTTCTTAGTTGCTATAGATATGTTTTATTTCATAAGATCTTTTCTACCATACACTTACCTTTCCCTACAAATGTATTCATCTGGTCTTCTCTGGTGGTTATTATTTGTCATCCAGGGTGCTTTTATGGACATACTCCTGGTTTCCCTTATTCTAAACCAACATAAAATGATTCTGTCCTATGCTAAGTCCTGTGGTTCATATTGGAATTATTATGTGCACTCCATGAGCTTGTAGGAATGTAAGAAGTCTGACATGTGCCATACTATACACTGTATCTAAGCAGGCAAGAAACTGATTAGAAAAGGAAGGCAAAGGCAAAAGAAAACAGACTTGGCAAAGTGTGTGGAGAATGTCCTGCGTAGGCTCTCAGTAGTCAAGATAGAGATTAGCCTGTTGGTAGGAGTCATTGCCTGGGGGTGGCAGGGAACTTGAAGAACAAATTAACATTTTAGAATGTTTCCATGCCCATTGAAATTCCACTTTGGTATTTCAGCTCTGCGTGTATTACTGGCTCAGGTAACACTCCTCACAGAAAGTCTAAAATTGCAAAGAAGTTGCCAGACTGTCTTCTACCTGTCCATCTGGTCCTCCCTCTGCAGGCAACACTGATGGACTGGGTAGGAAGACATAAAGATGGGCAGAAGCATCTGGAGGCCCATCTTCTCCTTAGAGCTCTACATCCCATACTGGCTCTTGTATTGCTTCAGTACAAGGTGTGATTTTCCTGCCCTTGGCCCATATCAAGAAATACGATTGGAACTATAAGCTGGGTAGACAAAGAAGGACCTGCATTTTGTTTACCCTATACCATAGTCCCACCCAGATACTCATAAAGCTTCAAAAATGAGCCCAGGAAATACAAGATAACTTATGCTTACCATTTCCCCTGTGTAAGCATGGAGCGAGAGGTGACAAAGATCAACTTCTGGAGGTTTTTCACCCCCAAAATCCCATCCCAGACCACCTCTTCAAAAACACAAGAATTTCCCACTTGGTAAACAGAAATCAGATACCCTGGAACCGCCTTGTCTTAGAAGTATTTTCTCCTAGGCTTCATGATAAACACGTCCAGGTAGTTGCCTAAGCCATCTGCCCTATGTCACGTGTACTTCCAACTTGGAATGAGGGTTTTTATGAACGACACGGAAGCAGAAAGGCAGTTGGGGGAATGCTTCTGCAAAATGTCTGGGGTGCAGTTGGCCTCACCAAAAAAAAAAGAGAGGAAAAGAAATTGGGTCTAGGCTCTTAGAATGTTGCATTTTTCTGGCCAGTAGAAACAAAATACTCATTGCTTGAAATGACTGTATTCAATATTAAATTTTACCAAAAAGAATTGGGTAAAAAGGTCAGAAGAGCAAAAAAGCCATCCCCAAACCTCACCCTGCCCTTTCTCCCATTTCTCCATATCATAGAGGGCCTTGGACAATTTATTAAGTTCAGAGGTTTGGTGAGAAAGGAGGTTGCAAGCCACAAATCTCTCATCAGACTTGTCTGTTGTACTTGCCCAACTATATCAGGAAGACATCCTCAAGACCTACAGACTCCTGGCTTCTAATAAATCATCCAAAGAGCAATTGACCAAGCAATGAATCAAAGTAAGGAAATCAAAGAGAGAGAAATATGGAATAAAAAGACCCACATAGTGAGCATGAAACTAATTAGCTATTGCCTTAATGCCACAAAATTGCTCTAAATGTGTTACACAACAGAAGGCTAATGTAAAATATAATTACTTAAAGAAAAGATGCATAATGTAAAAATTAACAATGGTAATTTAGGTTGGTAATTCACTATTATGTCAATAAAAACTGAGAAAGAGTTGGAGGACCGAAGCATGTAAACAAATTTCTGCTAATTTTCTCGTGTTAGACAGAGGGGATAAATAACTACTCTTTTACTTTTGATACTGGGTATTTAAAAAGTATGTATTTTAAGTACACAATCAGCCTTCCAAATACTTCCAAGAGGTATAGATAGAAGGATCACAGTTGGGGCAATTCCAATTAGAAGCATGAGAACGTGCTTGAAAGATAATTTTTAAACAGGTTGATGGTGTGCCTCAAATATTAGATCACTTGCAAGTACAAACCCCATTACTGTGAAAAATTGGGGTGAAGTTCTAGAAAAATAAAATTGATAAATAGAAAACACAAGGGCCACTGATTGCAGGATGGTTATGGGCTAGGTTGAATAATTTACTATCAACTGATTTTACTCCCCTCCCCCTGCTACCCTACATACATGCTCTACTCAAGATGAGGTAAGAGAATTTAGGATCCAGATTATCTTTATTCTGTGGATATTAGGGTAATTTGTCAGCTTAGCAGAGTAGCCATAAATTGAGCTTTTATATTCAGACTGCCTACATACAAAACTCTGGTGGCTGTGCGGTTTTTAATTAAGCTATTAAAAGAGATATGCTTGATTAATTAAAAGAAGATATATCAAATGTGCACTATATGTCAAAAAGGCACTTGGCTAAGTCCTGAAACTACAACAGAAGGCCAGACAGACAAAACTACAATCCAGTGGGAGTGGAGGGAGAGATCAAAAATAAGCGAATAAGTAAGTGAAATAATATGTCAAACAATTAATTACCAGCTTTAGGGGTGTAGAAGACACTTAGCAATTGTTGGCAATTGCGTGAGGAGGAGAGAGGCTTTCCAAACTCTATTGTGATGGGTGAATGGGAGGAATTTCTCTGGCCCCACAGAAGCCATAGAGAATTTAAATAAGATGTGCATAATAAGATACAGTGCTCAAAGTCTTTGGGGCATTTTCATGAAGAAAGAGTTGTACACGGGTACTTGTGATGGAAATTGTATCTGATTCATCATCTATTTTCCCATTGATGCTTTTCCTGCAGGTGACAGGGCAGTCCCAGTTGTGGGGGTGCTGTCCTTTGTGCTGAATTCCCAGCATCTTACCAATCAACCATTTGTTTTGGATATAGCACTATGATACATCTATAGACCCTTAGAGATGGATGGGTTTGAAGTGTCATCTAATCTAGACCAGAAGAGAAAAAGAGAAAAGGAATCTCCAATAAAACATCCTCAGAAGCGCTTGAG